GGGTGACCTTGTCAGGTGGACAGGTGAGTGTGTGACATGGGTGATCTGTCTGTTCAGAGTGCGACAGGTGAGTTTGTGACATGGGGTGATCTGTCAGGTGGACAGGTGAGTGTGACATGGGTGATCTGTCAGGTGGATAGGTGAGTGTGTGACACGGGTGATATGTCAGGTGGACAGGTGAGTGTGTAACACGGGTGATATGTCAAGTAGACAGGTAAGACCTCATTACTTATCAATATATCTTCCCTGTCATTCTTCTCTTTCCCCTGTCATTCTCCACGCATCCTTCATTGCTTAGCTTCTGTTAATACATTATGTATCTTGTACTGTATATGTATCATAATCCTCTCCTTCTTCCTCCTCATTGTACTCGTCATTCTCCTCTCCTCCAGCTTACACTTTCTCCCCTCCTCCTCTGCCACCCCCTCCTCCTCTTTCCTCCTCCTACGTCTCCTCCTCCGACCCCTTCATCACATCTATGATGAGAAGGATGCAGCTCCTTGCTGAGCGGCCATTAGTAAATCACTCACCTAGCCTACCTGCTTTATTAATCACCTCTATTTACCTGTAGCTCCATCCCATTAATTAATCTACTAATAATAGATCAGCAGGTGTGATGTTCAATTATTCACTCTCATCTTGCACTCCAGTGTTAACTAGCGAGCTCATACAGAGGTGGTATACTGTGGTTTACTGTGTGTAGCTGTCTGTCTATGTGCCTTGTGTGCGTGGAAGCGAGCCCTACACTCGCTCCTGTGCGCTACGTGCTGGTGTGTGGTGGTGTCCCACTATGGACCCTTTACAGGTTGTCACGACTAGGTTATGTCGTGTGGTATTAAATGTTGTATGCGTCTACGTTTTACACATGTATATTGTTGATACCTCTGTTGTTTACATCTACATTGCTCGAGTATCCACTGTTTACATCTGTTGTTTGCTGTTGACAGTAGTCCTCTACGAGCAGCTGCTGTGCGCTCACACTGCCCACTGACGGCTGACTCTGTGAAACAATTTCAGATCGGAGCGAAGTCTGACGCAACAGCGGCAAAGATTCCCCATCATGCGAACTTGCAGCAGCTGGTGGCGCGAGTGCCACAAGCTCGACGCCAGCCTGGCGTCTACACCACCTCTACCTCCCTGCTCACCTCCTACAAACGTGTTCACGGTACGTACATGCTAGATCGTAGAACCCATGCGAGATCCATCGTAAACAAATAATAAACAGATGACACAAATATCAAGTCCGTCGCTGTCACAGCAACATTCCGTTGACAGACGATAAACTTTCTTGTCTCCAGGTCGGGCAGCAGCTCATCTGCTGACTGGGTCACCGTGGCAACGGACGCCGCAGCGCCGCGCAGCAAGCTTCGCGGGGTTTCACGCGGGGGCAGCATCAGCAGCGGCCTGCGACGCGGATACCAATGATGGCGCGGGCCGGAGCCAAGCTCCCGTCGCCCACGGCAACGCAGCAGTACAAGGCCGCGCTGAAGAGGAAGGGAGGAGGAGGCTGCAGAACTGCAGCAGATGATTAAGAAGATGAAGGAGGTAGAGAGGGATTCACTCAACACATTCTCAACCATGCTGTGCAACTTCCCTGCTCTGTCGCATAAGAACGAGCTCAAATTTATCGCATCTAGATGTTTTTGATTATATCTATCTCATTCAAAGACATTTTTTACGATATTTTCTTCCAAATTTTATAGTTATTTTTAATTAGATTATTGAATAATATTTTTAATAATTAAATTTTTATAATTTTTATAAGCACTGAAAACTCTGAACTATCAATTCTTAGCAATAGACAGCCAATAGTGGAAATTCCAGACTTGTTCCAATATCTGATTTCCTTTGTGCCCACTAGGTGGCGAGTCAGGATCGCTTTGAGCTTGACGTTAAGAAGCGAGAGGTGAGAGACTTACAGAGAGATCTGAAGAAGCTAAGCAAGATTATGCGCCAGAGAAACGATGAAGGTGCGTGTCCACAAATCCTCGCAGAACCATCGAAAGATAATATATGATTACCCATAGCTGCTTTTCACAACTGTAGTTGATGAAGTCCTAGAGCATACAATCTTTCTTGAATAACCAGTGCTGATTACACGGCCTGTTAACATGTTGAAGAGACCGTTAGATGACGGGAGATCAAGGAGAGACTTCGCTTACATAATATATAACATCAGGGTCATCATAAAACGAGTCTGGTTTGATGTGGTCCTAGTTACATCATTGCGTAATTAATGTAACATATACTCACGCAATGCTTTGATCACGCAGTTTGTGTAAAGTTGATATAAAATGTCAGTAAGGTGTGTGTGAGGGACTTGTGAGATAAGCCATCGCGCGTTCACAGACGTGACCTCGTCGCATTTCTCCTGTACTCCCATTGTAGGTAATCAGCCCATTCCGTCGCTCACCCGCTCTCTTGTAGCCACAGTAATGTGACGTGTGTTTACAGGTGCGTTTACACCTGTACGTGGTTTCACGTGTCCGTATACGTAGTGTACGTGTACGTATATGTAGTGCGTGTACGTTACACGTGGTCGACGTATGTTTACAGGTGCAATAGTGAGTGCGCTACAAAGTCAGGTGGAGAACACGCAGCTGGAGCTTGAGAGCATGAGAGCGTCTGCCTCGCGCGGGAGTTACTGGACTGTGGCACCACCGCACAGCTTGACGCGCTGAAAGAGGAGCCGAGAACGCACTGCAGGAGGTAAGGCAACAGTGACCAACCTAACCACTACATGCACGCGATATAACAGTGTTGATAACCCATCGAGTCACGGGCTTTCAGACGAAAATACACAGGCAGGACAACAAACACGAGCTGCCATTAAAACTATATTGTAGGAAAAGCCCGTGACATGACACATTATCAACACTTTTCAAGAATACACTTTTAATGGCAGCTCATGTTTGTTGTCTCTCCTGTGTATTTTCCTCTGAAAGCCCGCGTGACTCGACACGTTATGAGCCAACAGCTTATATCTATTGGTTGATTTCTGTATAAACAATTAATGTCCAATGAAAACCCATCGCAATCGTCGCATCGATTCTTTTAATAGTTTCAAGTTCGTTCTCGATGCGTCAACATCTCGCAAGAAGTGCGTTTGCACTCCGACTGTTCGCCTGTTTTAGTTGCAGGCGGAGGCAGACAGGTGGCGTCAGGGTTGCGACGCGGCGGAGGCGGGCCGAAGGAAAGCAGAGGACACGGTCACCTCGCTGTGGTCTCAACTCATCGAGCTTCAGACGACCGCCACCAAGTACAAGCAGCTGCAGACGCCAGCATGACCAGCTGCAGGAGAGGTGAGTGCATGCTGTCGGGAGCCGTCTATGATTGTGGGCTGTGACGCTAAGGTTACAAGGTTTATGGATGTGTGGATATGGATGTATGAATTGGATATATAAGGATGTCTATAGAGCATGCTTGCAATAACCACAGGGATTCCGACAGTAACAACAGGGGATGCTACCATAACAAAGGAGGATGCCGGCCTGCACTATAACATCAGGGGATGTCTATACTAATAGCAGCGGAGTTCTACAGTAACAATTAACAGGGGTACCATCACAGTAACATGGACACCGTCGGTCTCCATAAATACAAACGGCAATGATAGCGGGTTGCTACTGACTGGCTCGCTCTATCTCCTCGCCAGATGAAGGAGCTGGCCGCCAGGGAGCGCCACCGCGTCAGACGAGATCGCTCAGCTGGAGGAGTCCCGTGCGCGACGCTGCGAGGCGCTCTCGCGCGCGAGATGAGGGACGCAGCGAAGCCGACGCCCTGCGCAAGAAATTCACCACCGTAGAGGACGAACTAAATAAAAGAGTAAGTGGCCGCGCAATCCACGTGGGTGGCCATGTTTGATCGGTGCTGGTGGCCATATTTGATCGAAGATACGTGATCATGTACCCACATAAATAACAGAGAACTCAGATTCACCTCACGAGATAAATGACAGGGACTGTCACTCCTAATTGATTGATGTGAGCATTGTATTGCATAGATTGTGCATAGATTCTGATACGATATCGAAAATGACGTTTTGTCATTTTGCATCCTAGAAACAAAAAGAAGAAGCATATATAGAGGAAATTAATCAATTGAAACAGAAGGTTGACTCCCTCAACGAACTAAGCACAAAACTGGAAGGCATGGAGAAGGAGCACGCTAACCTACGAGAGAAGGTACGATGCATGTCGATCACCACGGTCATGGTTCGGAAGATCTGAATGCCTAGAACGAGATTACAAGTATTTGGAGCAAAAACTTTCACGTACATCCCCAGCTAAAATACCTACATTTTTGTACTACATGCACTACATGTCCTGAGAATTCTGCCCCCTGTTACAGTATGAGACCTGTACTAATACACTCAGTGCTGCATGGCCGAGTGTTAATACCTCTCCGTGTCTGCATTACCTGCAGTAATAGGCTGAGAGTGCCTCCCCCCCCCCGTTACAGTACGACAGGGTTGGAAACTATCACCCCCGTGTTTGCATCACATACATGCGTGGATGAACGTTAACCCTTTCCCCCTATTGTTACAGTATGAGGAGGTTGAGAAGAGAAAGCTATCACCCACATACTTGCATCACATACATGCATGGATGAACGTTAACCCTTTCCCCCTATTGTTACAGTATGAGGAGGTTGAGAAGAGAAAGCTATAACCCACATACTTGCATCACATACATGCATGGATGAACGTTAACCCTTTCCCCCTATTGTTACAGTATGAGGTTGAGAAGGGAAAGCTATCACCCACATACTTGCATCACATACATGCATGGATGAACGTTAACCCTTTCCCCCTATTGTTACAGTATGAGGAGGTTGAGAAGGGAAAGCTATCAGCCGAGACGGCCATTGCGCCGCTGCGTGGCAAGGTCGCATGCCTCTCACAACTCTGCCAGGATAAAGACTCTGCACTTGCCAAACTCATGATGAAGGTACGGGGAAAGGATACAGGGCTATGGGTAGGGGCTCTTTATGAGGTACAGGAGAAAATATGAGGACCTTCTCCATGTGAAAGGAGGGTACATGGGGTACGGTACGGGAGTAAGACTCTTTATAGGGTGAAGGTACGAGTATTATAGCAATCACCTTCGAATATTGTTACTTGGTTGGTTAAGCTAGCCCAGTTTGTACAAGTTTTCTACGCGTGTACATCAATACGTCTACATTTCAGTATTTCATTGCCAAGTAATGTTTTTAGGATGTCCTATCGCAATTATGATTGGCCAGAACAGTCAGTTAATCATGCTAAGCAGATAGCTTAATTGATCGTCATTCCATATAGTCCAGACTATCTATCCCTTGACCTTCAGAGTCATGATGAGGATCTACTGACAGAGGTCGAGAAATCACTGACCCTCGCAGACAGAGAGGACTACATGAGGCCATTCTCTGATGTCACCATTGACCCCAAGGTGACCTTACGTTTTTCACGTCGATCACCAGTTACAGTTTCGTAATTATGACCTCAGGCGCACGAGTAAGCTCCTGTGATCTCTTGTGATTATATCACAGTGTGTGAACATACTATATGAGATCTATAGGCCGAACACCTGCCTATAAAGGACACTTGGCAATTGCCTCGTGTGGCAGTTCTACAGTGAGACCACTGATATAATCACGGGCACCTAGGTGTCTATAAACACTATATAATAACATACGTATTTATAACACCTCTATATAAACGACAATGTATACGGACACGTTGTTATAAGAGGGGTTTCCTTTCAATGACCCTTACGTATAGATATAACTCTACTACCATCCCACGTCTAACATCATTGATGGTGTTACAGGGGCTGGCGGCAGCGTTGGCACGACCCGGCTCCCCAGACAGCATCAGCTCTAACACCACTGACCAGGAGAAACAGGAGAAGCTGCTGGACATCAAAGCTCAGCTCTCCAAGCCGATGATGCTACATGACACCTTCTCATACAACAACACAATCAACACGTTCAACAGGTATGTAACACCTCATACACGTGAATAAATTCATTTTACAGGTATGTAACACCTCATACACGTGAATAAATTCATTTTACAGGTATGTAACACCTCATATGCGTTAATCAATGCGTTACACAGGTATGTAACACCTCATACGCATCAATCAACACGTTACACAGGTATGTAACACCTCATACACATCAATCAACACGTTACACAGGCATGTGACACCTCATACACCACAATTACACTGTTACACATATGTATGTATTTATGTAGCATCTCATACAAGATTTTGCTCAATTTATGTGTGACAGAGTATTTAAATAAGATTCTAAGTACACTTTTCAATTAAACAGCTTGCCAAGTGGACTGGACATCATACTGCCAAGCAAAAGCAAT